AATTTAATAAATTCAAGTAGTTTTAGAGTTTTGTTCCAAACTGACCGCATCAGAGAAACAGCCACACTGTGTTTAAAATAGTCTTTGCAGCACTTTATAATTTCTCCCTTAGTGCATTTCATTTATTAGACCTGTCAATCTACACCCTCAGCAGATATGCCTGGAACATTTCAAAGCAGACAATACAGCTAATTTTTTTCAGTTTTTAACCTTATCAGGGTCACTGAAAACATTTTTATCTGGTGTTAAAAAGTCAACACATCATTCAACATATTTCTTTCTGGCTTTAAACAGACTTTAAAGAGATGATTTTCAAGCTATTGAGGGTTAGGTACCAAAGAAAATGATGACACCATTATAAAACTGCGGTCATGCTGTATTAAAAACTGATACAGAAGGTTCAGGCCACCCCCCACAACCCTTCTCTTTTTGTGTAGAATGGAAGAATATATCCCTTTTCTCTCCCTGGCTCACTCATCAGATCAGTTTCACCTGATGGAGGATATTTGAAATGAACCAACTGTGCAAAGGTCCTCACATGCGTGTGAAACTGACTACCAGCTAGGCATGTTCAAAACGATTATCTTGTAACAGTACTTTAGATTAATCCAGGCTTTTACTCAGTGAATGATATGCTAATTCAAAGTCACATGGCTCCTTCAGGATAGATGATCATGAGATCACTAGTAGTCAGTTCTGTGTCCAAGTCCAGCGTATCCGAGATTCAAAGATTTCAGTTCTTTTCCAAGGACACGGAACATAAATGGATCATCCCCAACACTTAATCATCTGTCTCCTATTGTGCTGATCCTCCTCCCAACAAAATACTTTAAACCAACCGAGGCAATCAAGACTTCAAAAGTTCACTGTGGTAGCAGTAGTAGTGATGCTACATTGTAAGTTTTATTAATAAAGTAAGCTATTGCTTCTTGGTGAGAAAAACACAAACAAATAAACACCATTGCATTGTTTAGATCATTTTCATTTCCGTGCACTGACTGCAGCTTAGATTTTTTGAACAAGATGATGTAGCGGTGGATGATGTAGATGATTTAGATGTAGGTAGCATCTCATCTAACAAATACAAGCAACGAGTTTATTAATTTGAAGAGCAAGAGCTTTAGCCAGCCTTAAAGCTAGGTATTGTTGATTTTTCTTCTCTCCACTATTTTGTAAACCTAATGTGCAAAGTTTGCAAGCGTCCTTGGTCAAATTTGTGGTAAAGTTCTTTGCAGCTAACAGATACTTATCAAACAAGCACGATTTGCATTTCACTGTGATGTTTTTCTTGTCTTAGCTAGTGGTAATGACCATTAAAGTTGCAGTAATGGATTTTTAGATGAGATAATAAAATGTGCTATCAGGATTTTTACCTTAAAACATGTACCAAATCTACTCAAAACACATTAACACTAATATTGCTTTTCCTACAAGATCTCCATACATTTGATTTATGCAGCAAGCGATACTGTTAATTGTCACATTTTATCCTAAAGCCCATTACGCTTTTCCTGCATCCCGTCTACAGTACTTGTTGTTGACAACATTTGACAGTTCCGTTTGTAACAAGATAATCAATGTTATGACTTACCTGTCAGTTGTTTTCATTTTGTGAATACATAGCTTTGATGCTCTAGTCTGTTATATAGATTTCACCAATACTTACTCCAGTATTTCACCTCTTAAGAAAACAAGCTTCTGTTCTTCTATTTTCATTCTATTGATCTATGCTGATAGAGAAAACCTTTTTAATTACATGGTCCTGCACATTAGAGACAAGATTATTATGGTGTCACAACCTGAAATAAACAGATTTGCACTACATTTAGTATTAAACATTAACATTTCCATACATATACACACAGTGTTGGGGAGTAACGGAATACAAGTACCACCGTTACGTATTTAAAATACAAAATATGAGTAACTGTATTCCGTTACAGTCAAAGGAGCTTGCAAAGAAAAGCGTCTGGACTTGTCTAAGTTACTTGAAGACGTTTCACCTCTCATCCGAGAGGCTTCTTCAGTTCTCGACATCCTCGAGGATAAGAAGGACAGACGCAACAACATTGTCATCCCCTATGTAGCCGGTGTATCAGAGAAACTCAGGAGGGTTTTCTCCAAGCATGACATCCCGGTGTACTTCAGACCCAGCAACACACTCAGACAAAAACTGGTTCACCCGAAAGACAAAACGCCAAAACACAGACTTAACAATGTGCTGTATGCCGTACAGTGCAGCGAGGAATGCCCAGACCTCTACATTGGAGAGACCAAACAGCCACTTCACAAGCGCATGGCACAACACAGAAGAGC